GATGCTCCAGGGAAGAAAGCCTCAGTCTCCCTGTAAGTCAAACCCTCCAACCCTGGCAACATGCTTTTCAATCTTTTCTCAACCTTTCTGAGTTGACCCACATTTTTCCTATAACAGGGAGACGAGAATTGAATGCGGTATTCCAAAAGTGGCCTGTACAGCCACAACATGACCTCCCAACTCCCATATCCAATGTTCTGGCCAAAGAAGTCAAGGGTGTGTATTGCACACAGATTCCTGCATGCTCTGAATATCCCTCTCCATCGTTTCCATTTCCTCTGTCACCCCAGCTGCCAACAGCAGAACGGCTTGCTTTGATCCATGTGCAGTAGTGTTTGTGACAGTGACTGCTTTGTCCTCAGATGTGAGGAGGGGTGTTATAGAGAGGGAGAGAGAGAGAAAGAAAATATAATAAACCCTCTGCTCCTGTACTCTCTTCAAAGTTGTACCATTGAGTCTGCGTTATCTCTGAGTTGCTTATGCCAAAATGCATCACCTTGCATTTCTGTACACTGAAACCCATCTGTCAGGCATAAGCCCATTTGGCCAACTTGTCAACCTCTCTCACTGTCATCCTCACAATTCACTATTCTTTCTAGCTTAGTATCATCTGAAAATTTGGAGATCCTGCCCTCAACACCCATCTCCAATTCATTTATATAAATCAGGGTCCCAACACTGATCCCTGGAAACACCAATTCCAACTCATCTCCAATCTGAGAATGCTGCCAAGCAACCCATCAATCCCAACCATTTCTAATTTGCTAACCACCTGCCATGTGGCACCATATCAAACGCTTTCTGAAAGTCCAACATCCACAATTTTACTCTCATTCACTGCCTGTCACCTCATCAAAGATCTAGTGAAATTTGAATGAGAAGTGAGATACCTGAGTTTGGTGGCCAGTAGGCAAGGTTGTGTATTAAGTTCATAGAATCCCTACAATGTGGAAGCAGGCTATTCGGCCCATTGAGTCCACACCAATCCTCCCTACTACTCTATAACCTTGTATTTCCCATGGCTAATCTTCCTAGCCTGCACCTCCCTGGATATTATGGGTCAATTTAACATTTCCAATCCACCTAACCTGCACATCATTGTGACTGTGGGAGGAAACTGAAGCATCCAGAGGAAACCCGGACAGGCATGGAAAGTGTGCAAACTACATCCAGACAGTTGCCCGAGGCTGGAATCGAATCCAGGTCCCTGGTGCTGTGAGGCGGCAGTGCTGACCACTAAGCCACCGCGCTGCCCAAATCCACTTCCTGAATTATTGTCTGTAGTTGATAAGGTTGACTTAGTCGATATGGTTTGAGATGGTTGGAGAACTCGGCCCCATAGAATGCTCCTCCTGCGATAGGTGGGAAATCAGGGGCACTTCCAGTCTCCATGGTGACCACGTATGCAGGAGTGTGTTCAGCTACGGTTCCTGATTTGCTGCAAGGAGCGTCAGGAGCTGTGATGGATTCACTATGGAACATTCATGAGCTTGAGAAGATCATGGATAGCACATACAGTGAGCTGCTCGCAATACCAGTAAGGTCTACACGGGCAGAGATGAATTGGGTGGCCACCAGGAAAATGGTTAAGTGTGAGCAAGCAGTCTGCTTTGACCATTTCCCCTCTCAAACAGGAATACCATTTTGTGAACAAAACAGAACGTAAGAAGTGCGAACACAGGAAATCCAAAGCAAAAGGAGAAATTGCTGGGAAAACTCAGCAGGTCTGGCAGCTTCTGCAGAGCGAATGCCCAGCCAACGTTTCAGGCCCAGCGACCAGTTCTGAAGAAGTGTCACTGGACCCGAAACGTCAGCTCCACCAACCCACCCCCCAAACAGATGCTGCCAGACCTGCTGAGCTTTACCAGCAATTTCTGTTTTGCATAGTATCGGGAGAAATCGCCTCTCAGGAGAAGGCAGCAGCAGTTGCCAGGTCACTGACCCTGTTGTACACCAGGAGGGGTCGACGTGTAGGCAGACAGTAGTGATAGTGGACTCTACACTCAGGGCACAGAGAGGCAAGTGAGATTCCAAGATTGTGTGTTACCTGCCCGGTGCCAGGGTGAAGGATGCCTTCCAGCAAACACTGGATATTCTGAAGGGGGAGGGTGAGCAGCTAGAGGTTGTGGTCCATAAAGACGTAGGCAGAAAGAGAAATGAGGTCCTGCAAAGGAAATTCAAGGAGTTAGGTAGGAAAGTAGGACCTCTAGGGTTATAATCTTGGGATTACTTCCTGTGCCATGTTCCAGTGAGGTTAGGAACAGAAAGATTATACACTTAAATACGTGGTTAAAGAGCTGGGAGAGAGGGTTTCAGGTATGTGGAACATTGGGATGTCTTCAGGGGCAGAGATAGTGAAACCTGTAAAAGAAGGACAGGATGCACTTAAACTAGACGGGCAACAATATCCTGGGACGGAGGTTTGCTAGTGCCACTCTGGAAGGTTGAAACTAGTGCCGCAGTGAGGTGGGAACCACAGCACTAGGTCAGCAAGTAAATGACTAACGAGGAGTCAGAGACTAAGGCCAGTAAGACTAAGAGGAAGAACAGACAAGGAAAGATTATTGAAGATGGCAGAACTAGGGGTCTGAGGTGTGTTTGTTTTAATGAAAGGAATATGAGGTAAGGCAGATGAACTTGGTCCATGGATTAAACATACAACTATAACATTGTAGCTATTACAGAGAGTTGGTTGAGAGAGGGACAAGACCAGCAGCTTAATGTTCCGGGATTTAAAAGTTTCAGGCAAGATAGAGTGTTGTAAAAGAGGTGGGGAAGTTACATTAGAGATGAGGGAGAATATCACAGCTGAACTGAATGAGGACACCTTAGAGGGTTCATCCAGCAACGTCATATGGGTAGAGCTCAGGAAAAGGAAAGGTGCAATTACTTTGATGGGATTGTACTACAGGCCTCCCAACAGCCAGCGGGTGATCGAGGAATAGATATGTGGACAGACTATGGGAAAATGTAAAAACAACAGGTTCGTTGTGGTGGGGGATTTTAACTTTCCCAAGATTGACTAGGACTCACTTAGTGCCAAGGGATTAGATTGTGGACAATTTATTATGTGTGTCCAGGACAGTTTTTTTCAAGCAATTTATACATAGTACAAATAGGGAAGGGGCTATACTAGACTTAGTACTGGGTGATGAGCCTGGTCAAGTGATCAAAGTTTCAGTGGGGGAGCATCTCGGGAACAGTGACCATAATTCTGTAAGTTTTAAGTTACTTATGGATAAGGATAAGAGCAGTCCCAGGTGAAAGTATGAAGTTGGAGAAGGATAACTGTGACAATATTAGGCAGGATCTGGGGAATGTAGATTGGGGATGGCTGTTTGACGGCAAATTCCCATCTGGCATGGGGGAGTCTTTTAAAGGTCATTTGATCAGTGTTCAGGACCAGCATGTTCCTGTGAAATCAAAGGATAAGGATGGCAAGATTCAGGAACCTTGGATGACAAGACAAATTGAGAGATTAGTCAAAAAGGAAAGGGCATACGTAAGGTTTAATAAACTGAAGACAGACACAAGAAGAATACAAAGAAAGCTGGAAAGAACTCAAACAAGGAATTAGGAGGGCTTAAAGTGGCCATGCAATGTCCCCAGAAAACAGCATTAAGAGAAACCCCAAGGCATTTCACTGGAGCAAGGGGACAACCAGGGAAAGGCAGGCTCACCCAGGCACACACTTGTGTGTGGAGCCAGAGGAAGTGAACAAAGCTTCCAATGAATAGCCTGCACTGGCAGCCACAAAGGAGAAAGTTATGTTGGATGGTGAGTTCTAACAGAGAGATGTTCATACTCTAGGGCATGTCAACATAAAAAAGGAAGTGGTGTTGGGTGTCCTGAAAAGCCAAGACAGACAAGTCCCTGGGATCCCTCCCAGAATGCTGAGGGGCAGGTGAGAAAACCGCTGGGGCTTCTTTCTTGTCAGAAATCCCTGCATCCTCCCCAGTCACAGGAGAGGCACCAGTGGACCGGAGAATAGCCAACACTGCCCTCTCCCCCACTCTATTCAAGAAGGGCAAATATGGACAATCCTACATCAGCAGTAGGGAAACTACTGGAGAAGACCCTTTGCGACAGGATCTACCCCAACCCCGAAAAGCATGACCCTACTAGTGATAGGCAGACCAGCTCTGCCTGGGGGAAGCCAGACCCCCAAGAACCTGACTGAGTTCCCTGGGGAAATAACAAAGACAAGGGCAGGGCAAAAATGCTGTCCACATGGACCCTAGCAAGGCCCTTGACAATTCACAGAATCCTTATAGTGGGAAAACAGGCCATTCAGCCTGATCCTCCAAAGAGCAGCCCACCAGACCCAAGCTGCTACCCTATCCCTGTAACCATACATTTCTCATCATTAATCTACCAAGCCTGCTAATCTCTGGGCACTATGGGACAATTTAGCATGGCCAATCCATCTAACCTGCACATCTTTGGACTTTAGGAGGAAACCAGAGCACCTGGTGGAAACCCATGAAGAGAATGTGCAAACTCTGCACAGACAGTCACCTGAGGGTGGAATTGAACCTGGGTCCCTGGCACTATGAGGCAGCAGTGCTAACCACTGTGCCACCTCAGGGCAAGCTAAAACCACAAAAGGTGAAGTCACATGGGATCCATGGTGCCATATTGATTCCATCAGACCCTCTCTGCAATTGGACAGAGGCAATTGTTCAAAAAAACCTTGACTGGCAAAACCCTTCTTAGTTTGATACCTCTCTGGCTTGTCCAAGTTTGGAATCCAGAGGTGTCCAGTGGATTAGGGTGAAGACGTGGCCACAGGTAAGCCGCTGGACAATTGGAGAATGGGGCAATAAATGCTGGCCTAACTAACAATGCCACTCCCTGGGAACGAATCATGAATTTAGGTTAAAGTACCAGGAAATCTCAATTGCACCAGCTCTTTTCCAAACAGACACTCCATTGTAATTAACTTGATCAGGTCTTGGCTGTGATTCCATTAGACTTTAATAATCGAGTGGTCCCCACAAGTTTGTAAAAAGATGAAAATTGAATCATGCTTTAAGATGTTGTGTGAAGGGAAATAATACTGTCGGGTAGAACAGATGGTTGTGCATTTTCTGTCAGTTCCGGTATAGATTCTGGCTTGTTTGGGGTACGGAGATGCGTTGGTAAAGCCATCAGCGTCCCTCTGAATGAAAACAAATAGGAGGTTAGCATTCTTGGCATGAAATGTACAATGCCTTAGTGAAGCTACATTAACCCTACAGTTACAGTGCTCTGTCAACACTCAAATAAAGAAAGCTAAAAAAAACACAAACACTTATCTCATCCAAAAGACAAACACTTATCTCATCCAAAATTGATGCAAAAGACTTGAGGAATGTTAGAATCACCTCAAAGAAGTGAATACAAGAAGCATTGGGACTTATATGGAATTTAATCACAGCCCTCTGGACTGCTGTTTTCTCTCTGGAACACTGCACCAGAGGAAGAATATATTGGCTTTTGAGAGGTTACAACACAGATTCATGATAATGATAACTTAAGGCAATAATTACAAATACCAATGACTGAAACATGGTTTAAACATGGCTTCTGGATGAGTGCAGCTCCAACAACGCTCAAGAAGCTTGACACCATCCAGGCCAAAGCAGCCCACTTGATTGGCACCACATCCACAAGCACCCACTCCCTCCACCTCTGACGCTCAGTAGCAGCAGCGTGTACGATCTACAAGATGTATTGCAGAAATTCAACAAAGATCCTTAGACAGCCAAACCCATGACCTCCGCCATCTGGAAGGGCAAGGGCAGCAGATACATGGGAACACCACCCCCTGAAGTTTCTGTCCAAGCCCCTCACCATCCTGACTTGGAAATATGTTGCCATTTCTTCAGCATTGCTGGGTCAAAATCCTGGAATTCCCTCCCTAAGTGGCTTTGTGGATTTACTTATAGCACTTGGACTGCAACGATGCAAAAAGGCAGCTCACCACCACCTTCTCAAGGGTTAACTACAGATGAATGATAAATGCTGGCCCAGCCAGGGACAGCCCTGTTCCATGAGTGAATTAAAAGAAAACGCTTTGAGTTGAGAAGTGTGGAGGGTGATCAAACTGAGCTGATTATAAATGATGAACATTGAGCCTCAGAAGTTAACATGCACAGTGAAGGTGTCCAAGGATAAGGGGTTCTGAATCTCATTTAGTCATTCATGGGTAAATCAGATGACAAGAAGGTGCTGAGATGTGGTTTGGAGGAACCAGAAACTGTGTCTTTTGGCTGGAAGGAGTAAATGGTAAAATGAGAATGTGGGAGCAGCTTTGCCTCTTCATGATGAGTAAGAATCTGGTGATCAGATATGAGCCACTCTCCCTGTTGATGTTAATAGCTTGAATCTGGCCCAGTCCTCATTCCTGCATGTGGTGAATACCAGGCCCAGTTTATCTGGAGGTGGAAAATGGATTGCATTTGCAGGGACACAATGTAAAACAAAAACTTCTAGATTAAGCTGGGGGTGGAAGAGGTAGTATGTAGCCAGCGTTACCTGATATCCAGCTTTGTCAACTATGCATAGACTATTACCAGTGTTGGGTTTGGTTCTATTAGATTAAGTTTGATTTAAGGCCTTTCTTAACAGCTTGTATGGGCTTTCTTTTTATTTTGTGCTTTCTCAAAAACAAAATTTTGAACTGAAGTGAAAAAGACGTGTTTTAAACAACAGCATTAGAAAGGGTGGCTGCGGGTATGGGAAAGCAAGTAACCACCCACCCATGCCAATTGTTTGAACAAGCAGTAATTGAAGAATTGATTTGGGTAAGGATGGCATGCACAGGCAACTCTGGCAACAGGAAGTTGATTTGTCTATGGACTACTGGTCAGTTATCAGTAAGAGATTTATTTTGCCTGCCAACACCTGTGTGATTGGTTTGCAGGTAGCTGAGCAGCTTTGAGCTGTGAATAAGTTACAGAGAGAGAGAGAAAAAAAAAAGTTCCATTCTTCCCCAGCTCAGGCGTCGTCTCTCTGTTCTCTGCAGTCAAAACTCACGGTAAGCCTGAAGAAAACCAGTTTATCTTTCCTGCAACAGTTGTTGTAAGCTGTGACTTTTAACATGTAAATCAGTGACTTTTTAATCAGAGAACTGACCATTTTGAGTTTCTCACCAACCAATAGAAGAAACTGGAGTATGACTGCAGGTTCTTTGAGGACTTGACAGAGTAGGTGTAGTGAGGTTTATTCCCCTTGTCGAAGAGTCTAGAACCAAAGGGCATAAGCTAAGAATAAGACAGAGGAAGAATATAAACTCCCAGAGGGCAGTAAATCTCTGGAATTCTTCAGCATAGTGACCTGTTGAGGCTCGGTTGTTGAGTATAAGCAAGACTGCAATAGAGAGATTTTAATCAATAAGGGAATCAAGAGTTATGGTGTGAAGGGCAGGAAAGTGGAGCTGAAGACTATCAGATCAGCCATGATCTCATTGAATGACAGAGCAGAATCAATGGGCTGAATGGCCTATTTCTGCCCCTGTAACTTATGATCTAAAGTACTGAAGAAATGTGATGGCCAGGAGAAAGTCATAGCAGGTCATAAAAAGTCATTGCAACAATAGAGTCTGGGAACAAAAACTAATGAAATATCCTTCCAGTGTTTCCCCCCTAAACCATAACCTGTTTTATTCTCAATAAAAACTGAAAGAACTGTGGATGCTGTAAATCAGGAGCAAAAACAGAAGTTGTTGGAAAAGCTCAGAACATCGGGCAGCATCTGTGAAGAAAAAAATCAGAGTTGGCGTTTCGAGTCTGGTGACCCTTCCTCAGAACTGCTGTTTTATCCTGTCAGGACCTATTTTCTTGTGTGTGTGTGTGTGTGTGTGTGTGTGTGTGTGTGTGTGTGTGTGCGCGCGCACACACACGTGTGCATGCACATGCATGTGTGACAGAGAAAGAGAAAGGGGAAGCTCATAAGGTGCTGTATTGATGCATTTTTTGCTGGCAACACAAAGTTGATAGTCTATGCACGAGTGACCTGTCGTCGATTACAGAGACCTTTTCCACCTGCCAACAAGTGTGTGATTGGTCCTCAGGCAACTGAACAGCATGGAGCTTGGGGAACAAGTTATAGACAGAGAGACAGAGAGAAAAGTGTTCTGTTCTTTCCCAGCTCAGAAGTGGTCTTTCTGCTCTCCACACTCAAAACCAACTTTAAACCTAAAGATAACCAGGTTAATCCTTTCTTCAGTCGTCGTTGTAAGCTGTGACATTTAACTGCTAAGCCAGAGACCTTTTAGAAGACACAGCCATCTGTGTCGCTTACCAAACAATGGAAGCATCCAGAGAAAGAGCATTGAACCAACGCATTAGCCAGCAGGAGAGTCGTAAGGATCATTTCAATAACAGTGCCTGGCAACAATTCTATTCAATCAGAGATAGTAGGAACTGCAGATGCTGGAGAATCCGAGACAACAAGGTGCAGGGCTGGATGAACACAGCAGGCCAAGCAGCATCATAGGAGCAGAGAGGCTGACGTTTCGGGCCTAGACCCTTCATCAGAAAAGGGGGAGGGGAAGGGGGTTCTGAAATAAATAGGGAGAGAGTGGGAGGCGGATAGAAGATGGATAGAGGAGAGGATAGGTGGAGAGGAAATAGACAGTTCGAAGAGGCAGGGATAAGCCAGTAAAGGTGAGTGTAGGTGGGGAGTTAGGAAGGGGATAGGTCAGTCCAGGGAGGACGGACAGGTCAAGGGGCTCATATTCCGCTTGGGAACCCTGCAGCCCAATGGTATCAATGTGGATTTCACAAGTTTCAAAATCTCCCCTCCCCCGACCGCATCCCAAAACCAGTCCAGCTCGTCCCTGCCTCCCTAACCTGTTCTTCCTCCCACCTATCCCCTCCTCCCACCTCAAGCCGGACCTCCATCTCCTACCGACCAACCTCATCCCGCCCCCTTGACCTGTCCGTCCTCCCTGGACTGACCTATCCCCTTCCTAACTCCCCACCTACACTCACCTTTACTGGCTTATCCCTGCCTCTTCGAACTGTCTATTTCCTCTCCACCTATCCTCTCCTCTATCCATCTTCTATCCGCCTCCCACTCTCTCCCTATTTATTTCAGAACCCCCTTCCCCTCCCCCTTTTCTGATGAAGGGTCTAGGCCCGAAACGTCAGCCTCTCTGCTCCTATGATGCTGCTTGGCCTGCTGTGTTCATCCAGCCCTGCACCTTGTTGTCAACTCTATTGAACTGTATTTCCTGCATTTTCCCTCTGCCAACAGTCTATGTTATGTCTGTCAGCGTGTAAGTGAAAGTTTATAAGAGGATTGAAGTTTTGATTAATTGTGTATGCGCCAATGGTTTATGACTCTTTAATTATAGCAAGAGTCCAATTATTTGTAACAAATAGTGATTCCTATTCCGTTCAGAAACCTGGTCCATGCTTTCTATCAGTCTGAAAGGCTTTGAAAGGCAAGTAGATTGGAAACCTTTTAAACTTTTGTGATAACTTCGGGAATCAAAGGGCTGAATTTCTAGTGTACTCCTCCGTGAGTTGTCATAAGTCGAAGACTTGTCTTACCCCTTGGTATGGTTCAGACACTCACCTATTAAAGGGCCCATGTCGAAGTATCTGGATAAAACTATTCAGCAATAAAGTCTAGAGCTGCAACAGGACAGAGAAAAAACATAAACTTAGTCTTAATCATTTTGATGAGGCTTCAATATCCTTAAATTATTTATGTTGATTCATGTACATACATTCAGAATGCAACACAATGACCGTCTATCCATACAGTATCCAAAAAATATCCTTGCATGTTCATCATCTCAAAAATAGTACTGTCCATTTGTTACATGTCTGAGTCAGTCATAAATTTCAATGTCCATCCATCAATGTAAACTATAGGGTAGTGAAGACGATGTTTGGTACATTTGTCTTTATTGGCCAGTGCATTGAGTTTAGAATTTGTGGCTGTACAGGACATTGGTTAGGCCACTCTTGGAATATTGCGTTCAATCCTGGTCTCTCTGCTTTAAGAAAGATGTTGTGAAACTTGAAAGGGTTCAGAAGAGATTTACAAGAACATTGCCGGGGTTGGAGGGTTTGAGCTACAGAGAGAAGCTGAATAGGCTGGGGCTATTTTCCCTGGAGCATCGGAGGCTGAGGAATGGCCTTATAAAGGTTTCTAAAATCATGAGGTACATGGATAAAGGTGAATAGCTAAGGTCTTTTCCCCAGTGTGGGGAGTCCAAAACTAGAGAGCACAGGTTAAGCTGAGAGGGGAAAAATTTAAAAGGGACCTAAGAAGCAACTATTTCACACATGTGTATGGAATGAGCTGCCAGAAGAGGTGGTAGAGGCTGGTACAATTACAACATTTAAAGGGCATCTGGTTGGGAATATGAATAGGAAGGGTTTGGTGTAATATGGGCCAAATGCTGGCAAATCAGACTAGATTAATCTAGGATATCTGGTTGGCATGAACGAGTTGGACCGAAGAGTCTGTTTCCATGCTGCACAACTCTATGACTATGTAGTATGCTTATACCCTCACATAGGAACACGAGGAGGCCATTCATGCCCACGTGCCAGTTTCATTATTTGCTGGGACTCAGAATAATACATACTCTTATTTCTCTCTATCTGACTTGGCTGCATATCTTTAAATACACTGACCTTGCAAAGATTGTTCAATCCTTAGCTCTTGAGTTCTCATAAAAGTGCTGGAAAGTGGGGCTACTGTAGATTTAAAGCAGTTTCTGATGTGATGAGCTGAAGGGCCTCTTCTGCACTATATGATTGTATAATTGAGTTACTACTTTTTGTGGATGAAGTTTCCATATAACTGCTACTCATTATGTGAAGATGTGTTCCTCCAAACCTGGAGATTTGGGGTAATTCTGATGTGGGGGTTACACCCTTCCTCCTCGTCTCTGTCACCCACACTAAATCTGTCCCTATCCACTTTTTATTTTCCTTTAAAACGTTCTGCTGTATTTTTGTGCTGCTTCTATCAATCCCATGTAGATTGACCTGATCAGTGGGCTGTGTATTACTGGCCATAGCGTGCGATATGACAGATGAATGAGCAGTCAGACCCTGGATGTACCGAGGATCAGAGGGGCCTTGGCATGCTGTACTCTGGTCCCTTAAGGTAGCAGAACAGTTGGATAAAGTGGGTTAAGAAGGCAATGTGAGATACTTGGCATATGAGGCAGAGAGTTTAAGAACAGGGAGGTGATGCTGGAACCATATAAATCATCGATTAGGCCACAGTGAGAGTATTGTGTGCGGTTCTGGAATCCACACTTTAGGAAGGACGTGATAACACTGCAGACGGTGCAGGGAAATTTGCCAGGATGTTGCCTGGGCTGGAGAGGTTTGGTTATGAAGAGTGATTGGACAGACTGGGATTGTTTTTCTTAGAGCAGAGGAATTGTAGGGAGAACATGTTTGAGATGTATAAAATGATGAGGGGCATAGACAAGTAGACAGGAAGAAACATTTCACCTTAATAGAGGGATCAGTGACCAGAGGGATAGATTGAAGGTAAGGAACAGGAGGTTTAAAGGAGATGTAAGGATAAAAAATATTCACCCAGAGGCTGGTGGGAATCTGGAACCTACTGCATGTAAGGGTGGTAGAGACAGAAACTCTCATCACATTGAAGAAGTACTTCGATGTGCACTTGTGATTCCAAGGCGAACAAGGCTATGGGCCAAGCTGTCTTTTATGTTTAATAACTATCTTTTAACATAAGTTTCAGATACCCTCTAATTGCAGCTGTAGCTGAGTGATTGATTGTCTTTACTGTCACAGGTAGACAGTGGTAAAGAAGGCATCTGGCATGCTTGCCTGCATTGTTCAGACCATTGAGTATAGGAATTGGGACATAATGTTATGGTTGTACAGGACATTGGTGAGGCCACTTTTGGAGTACAGTGTACAGTTCTGGTCAACCTGCTACATGAAGGATATTATTAAATTGAAGAGGGTGCAGGAAAGATTTACAAGATGTTATCAAGGCAGGAGGATTCGATTTATATGGAGAGGTTGGAGAGGTTGGATAGGCTGGGACGTTTTCCACTGGGGTGTCGGAGTTTGAACCTTGTAAAGGTTTATAAAATCAGAGGCATAGACAAGGTGAATAGCAAAGGTCTTTTCCCTAGGGTGAGGGATTTCAAAACTAGAGGACATATTTTTAAGGTGAGAGGAGAAATCCCTATGAGGGATAATGTTTTCACACACAGGGTGGCTCCTATGTTGAATGAACTGTCAGAGGAAGTGATACATGTGGGTACAGTTACAACATTTAAAAGACATTTGGATAGATACACGGATAGGAAAGGTTGAGAGTGATATGGACCAAATGCAGGCAAATGGGACTAGTTTAGTTTGGGAAACTTGGTCCGCATGGACGAGTTGAACCAGAAGGCCTGTTTCCATGCTGTATGACTTCAAGTGCTGGAAAGCTGGATTTGAATAATTAAGTGATTCTTTCTGACAGGTAAAATGAGCCTAAGGGTGTTTCTCTGTGCTGTAGCCATCAATGATTCTATGAATGTAATGTTACTACCTTTGGGAATGACAATGTTGAATGAAGCATCTTACCTGGCCGGGTTCTGGGGCTGCACCAATGCTTGTGTATTATGATGGAAAAGGCAATGATGAAGCAGAATGCCAAGGACATCATTAACGTCAGGCCGGCCCTATATCCTTTACAGAATATAGTCAGGAGATCTGGAAGATAGAAATCAGGCATGCAAATGATGGTTTGCCCAGTGAAAGACACCTTTATTCCCTCTGCCCAAAACTTGCTGGTATTTGAGTGCAAGGACTTATCCTTGATTGAGTGTTGCAGACTGGTACATTCCAAAGTCCAACAGGACTGCATGCTGAGTGACGCATTAATGTTTGGGGGCATCTGGTGCAGAGGAACAATGGGAAAATATCACTGTCTAAGGCAGTTGCTCCCAAACTTTCTAGCACATGTTAAAGATGTATAGGATCCATGGTGACTTGGCCGCTAGGATTCAGAATTGGCTTGACCATAGAAGGCAGTGGGTAGTGGTGGAAGGATGTTCTTCTGGCTTGAGGTCAGTGACTAGTGGTGTTCCTCAGGGATCCGTGCTGGGACATCTTTTTGATGTACATAACTGACAACATGGTCGGGTGGCTTAGAAAGTTCATAGACGATACGAAGATTGGTGGAGTTGTGGGTAGTGTAGAAGGTCACAGCGGGATATAGATCAGTTGCAGATATGGGCGGAGAAATGGCAGATGGAGTTTAATCTGAGTAAGTGTGAGGTGCTGCACTTTGGGAGATCAAATGTTAAGATAAAGTATACAGTTAATGGCAGGATCCTGAACAGCATTGATATACAGAGTGATCTTGGGGTCCGAGTCCACAGGTCCCTAAAAGTGGCCACACAATCAGATAGGGTGGTAAGGAAGGCATATGGCATGCTTGCCTTTATTGGACAGGGAATCGAGTACAAGAGTCAGGATGTCATGTTGCTACTTTATAAGACTTTGTTTAGTTCATACTTGGAGTATTGCATTCAATTCTGTTCGCCACAATACAGGAAGGATGTGGAGGCTTTGGAAAGGGTGCAGAAGAGGTTTTCCAGGATGCTGCCTGGATTAATGGGTTCGAGCTATAAGGAGAGTCTAGAAAAACTTAGGTATTTTTTATCTGGAGCGGCACTAGATGAGGGGAGTCTTGATAGAGGCCTATAAAATTATGAGATGCACAGATTGGGTTGACAGTCAGAATCATTTTCCCGGAGTTGAAATGTCTAATACTAGGGGGCATGCATTTAAGGTGTTGGCGGGGGGCATGTTCAAAGGAGATGTGAGGGGCAAATATTTTACAGAGAGAGTGGTAGGAGTCTAGAATATGCTGGCAGGTGGTGGAGGAGGCAAATACAATAGGACTGTCAAAGGAACTTTTAGATAAGCACATGAATATGCAAGGAATGGAGGGATATGGACCAAGGACTGGCAGATTAGTTAAATTTGGCGTCATGTTCGGCGCAACATTGTGAGCCAAAGGGCCCAATCCTGTGCTGTACTGTTCTAAGGTGGATTGTTTGTTCATAAATGTTTCATCTACTTGCATTTAGTTACGGTCTTACTGGAGAGGTTTGCAACATAATTCACACAACAAGCTAAAGAAGGATCAAATGCATTTGTGCCCTAATAACTACCGAATAGAATATTGCTTAAGATATATTTAAGGTAGGACTGGTATTGGTGGGGGAGGGCACAGTCTCAGAGTAAAGTGGTGCAAATTTAAGATTGAGACAAGGTGTAATTTCATCTCTCAGAGGGTTGAGAGTCTTTGGAACTCCTTGCCACAAAGAGCTGTGGGGGCAGAGTCCTTGTGTATATTTAAGGCTGAGATAGACAGATTCTTGATCAGCTGGGGAATCAAGCATTACCGGGAAAAGGTGGGCAAGTGGACGTGAGAAATGTCAGATCAGCCACGATTCTATTGAATGGCAGAAGAGGCTTGAGGGACCAAGCAGCGAAAATAACATTCAAATAAGATAACACTGAACGGGACAACATTAAATGAGAGCGATTGGTAGTCAGGACCTCTTATTCTCCCATTCTTTCTCCCTCTCAGTAGTGCATTTAACTATTAATGACTGCCTCACCCTGTTTCATTCTCCCATCTGTTCTCAAATTGCCATGAGCACCAGTCATTTTACAAATAGACTGAAGTGACATGTTTGGGTATCTGCACATTAACGTGCAGGTGAAATGGAAGAAATCTCGGGATCAGGAGCTTGGTGAGTGAAGACTAGTCCCAGAAACTTGGAGGATTGTAAATATAACCCAGCTATTTAAAAAAATGGGAGGGATGGAAGAAACCAAGACTGGTTAGCCTAACTCCTGTACTGGGAAAAATGGTGGAGTTTATCGTAAAGGATGTGACAACAGTGCACTGAGAAAAATATCAATAGTATTATACAAAGTCGACACAGATTTACTAAAAGGAAATCATTTTTCATAGAACTCATACAGTGTGGAAGCAGGCCATTCAGCCCATTGAGTCCGCACTGACCCTTTGAAGAGCATCCCACCCAGACCCAACCTCTACCCTACATATCCCATCGCCAATCCACCTAACCTGCACATCTTTGGACTGTGGGAGGAAACCGGAGCACCCAAAGGAAACCCACACAGACAAGTGGGGGAATGTGCAACTCCACACAGACAGTCACCTGAGGGTGGAATTGAACCCATGTCCCTAGCTTTGTGAGACAGTACTGACTGCTGACCTACCATGCCACCCAAACCTATCGGAGTTTTTTCAGGATGTACAATAGGCATGGAGAACTAGTGGAAGTAGTCTATTTAGATTTTCAGAAGGCTTCTGACAAAGTCCAACATAAGAAGCTCTTATGCAGAATCAAGGTACATGGGATTAGGTGTAATATACTCACATGGATTGAGAATTAGTTAGTAGATAGGAAACAGACAGTGGGAATAAATGAACTGTATTTGGATGAGAAAATGTTGACAAATTGGAGTTTGCACATTCTCCCTGTGTCTGCCTAGGTTTCCTCTGGGTGCTTATGCTTTCTCTCACAGCCCAAAGGTGCACAGATTGGGTGGATTAGCTATAGAAAATACAGGGTTACTGGGCTAGTGTAGGAGGGGATGGGTCTGGGTGGGATGCGCTTCAGAGGGTTGGTGTGGACTCACTGGTTCGAAAGGCCTGTTTCCACACTGTAGGGAATTCTGAATTTCTTCTAAGAAATGTGGTTTCACAGGGATCAGTGCTTAAGACACAGTTTTTCGCACTGTATATCATATATGTCACAATATGTACAGTAAACAGTTCTTTAACTGGCAGCTGTGGGACCAGAATTGTACTGGTTGATAAAAATTCCAGATAATCAAACGGTCTCATAATCAAGGTAAAAACACAGAATAAGTGATACAAATGTAATGCAAGGAGTATATACGTCACTGTTACACATTATTTAGAGCACAATTCACTTAAATAATAATGCAACTTTGCCTTAAATTAAAATTAACAGCAGAGAGCCTTTCACTCGCACCCTCAACTGATTACTCGGAGATTGCGGTAATTCAGGAGAAATTAACTCAAAATTAAATCAACTGTTGATATTTGATATGAACAAACAAGCATATTTACTTTGAGGTAAATAAACCAAAACTTTAATAACTGGACAGAATAATACTGTAAAGTGGGTGGTATTGGGAGGCTGACAGTTTATTGAGAGTAATAGTTAAAACAGAGTTTGCTGGAAATATGTATGACGGAATCGAGTCTAATATTTCCAAGTTTTCTGATGACATTAAACCAGGTGAGAATGTGAATGGTGAGGAAGGTGGAAAGAGGCTTCAGAGTGATTTAGGTAAATTCAGTGAGTGGGCAAATTTGTAGCAGATGCAGTATAATGTGTGTCAATGAAATGGTTGTCCATTTTATTGGGAAAAACCAATTAGGAGAGTTTAATTTAAATGTTGACAGATTGTGAAACATCAATTTACAAAGGGTCTTGGGCTTGGATGGGCTGTTGGTCTTGCATTTCAAGGGGTTTTGAGTTCGGGAGCCAGTCGTACTGCAACTTTACAGAGCCCGGGATGGCAGGTTTAATGTTTGAGGAGAGATTGGGTTGCCTGGGCTCTTTATTCATTCATGGGATGAGCTGGCTAGTCCAGCATTTATTGCCCATCCCTAATTGCCCAGAGTTATGAGTCAACCACATTGTTGTGCGTCTGGAGTCACATATAGGCCAGACAAGGTAAGGATGGCAGTTTCTTTCCCTAAAGGACATCAGTGAACCAGATGGGTTTTTCCTGACAACCGGCGATGGATTCACAATCATCATTAGACTCAATTCCAGTATTTATTGAATTCAGATTCCACCAGCTGCCATGGCGGGATCGAACCCAGGTCCCCAGAACATTGCCTGGGTCTCTGGATTAACAAAATAAAAATCAAAGGAGCTGCAGATGCTGTAAATCAGGAACAAAGTTTGAAGGAAGGGTCACTGGATGTGAAATGTTAACTCTGATTATTTTCCTTCTCAGATGCTGCCAGACCTGCTGAGCTTTTCCAGCAACTTGTGTTCTTGTCTCTGGATTAACAGTCCAGTGATAATACCACTAGGCCATTTGCCTCCCTTAAATTTCACTGGAGTTTAGAAGAATGAGAGAGGATCTTATTGAAATGTATAGAATTCAAACAGCACTGTACAGACTGGATGCAGGGACGATGTGTCCCATGGTTGGAGGTTCCAGAACAAGGGGTCACGTTCTCAGGATACATGGTAACAGTTTTGCACCAAAATGAGGAGAAATTTCTTCACTGAGGAAGGTGCTGAACCTGTGAAATCTTCTAGCGCAGAGAGCAGTTACTAATTTTTTTAAAAAAATTCATTCACAGCTTGCAGACACCACTGGTTAGATCAGCATTTGTTGGCTATCACTAATTGCCCAGAGGGCATTTAAGAGCCAACCACCTCGCTGTGGGTCTGGAGTCATGTGTAGATCAAACCAGGTAAGGATGGCAGTTTTGTTCTCTAAAGGACATTAGTGAACCAGATGGGTTTTTCTGACAATTGATTCATGATCTTCATTAGACTCTTAATTCCAGACTTTTATTAAATTCAAATTTCACTATCTGCCATAGCAGGATTTGAACCCAGGACATTGTCTCGGTCTCTGAATTAACAGTCCAGCGATAATAACACTAGGCTATCACCTTCCCAGATGTATTTGTGAAAGAAAGAAATAGGTTTCTGTTCACAGAACACAGAAAGCGAACACACACATGTTGCAAGTATTCACGAAGGCTAATGGTATATCAGCCATTATTCCAAGGGAGTTGGAATAAAAGTTTTAAGGAAGTCTTAATTAAACTGTACATAACGTTGGTGGGGGCCACAAATGAAGTACCGTGAGCAGTTTTGGTCCCCTTATTTAAGGAAAGATATTATTTCATTGGAGGACATTCAGAGAAGGTTCACTAGGATGATTCTCAATATGGAGGGATTGTCTTATGAGCAAAGGCTAAACAGGTTGTGTGTTCACTGGATTTAGAGGAATGAGAGGTGATCTCATTGCATATATAGAATATTTATGGGGCTTGACCGAGTTAATGCCAAGAGGATGTTTCTTCTCATGAAAAGTCTAGGACTAGTGGATATAGTCTCAGAATAAAGGGACAATGACTGAAATGAGGAATTTCTTCTCTCAGAAGGTTGTGAGCCTTTAGAACTCTTGCCACAGAGAACTGTGAGGGCAGAGTCCTTGCATTTATTTAAGGCTGAGATAGATAGGTTCTTGATCAGTTGGGGAATCAAGGATTATGGGAAAAGGGCAAGAAAGTGAATGGGAGCAGTATTGGATCAACCATGATCCTACTGAATGGTGTTGCTGGTTCAAGGGGCTGAATGGCCTACTCCTGTTCCTATTTCTTGTGGTCTTATAGTCTTCAAAGCTGAAGGTATCAAAGGAGACAGGGAGAGATTGGGAGTGTGGCACTGAGATAGAGGATCAATCACGATCGTGTTGAGTGATGGCACAGGCTCAATGGGCTGAATGGCCTACTCTTGTTCCTATTTTCTGTGCTTGGTCGATATGTGGGATCTGACACTTACCATGGATTTCACCCATAGCTCTTTGTTGCTTCTCGTAGATGTGCTTGCCAATGAAGAAAATGCAAACCAAAACCAGAAGAATTGAGATGGTCAGACTAACATTGTAGGCTGTACAATCTGCAAAGAAGCCTGTCAAGAATGGAATTCATGGATCAGTTTTGCAAAAGAAAAATGAATACAATCTTGAACTCAATTTATTTGACAATGAAAATCTGAAAGCTTGGGTTACCTCTCCTGCCCACCTGTTCCACACTGGTTGGTGTACAATACAATGGTAAGGGCAGATGTGGAGTACTACATGCAGTTCAGGTTGCCTTCCTATAGAAAAGATATTATTAAACTAGAAAGTGTGCAAGGAAGATTTGCTAGGATGCTACCTAGACTGGAGGGTTTGAGTTATAAGGACAGACTAGGACTTTTTTTCCCTGGAGCGTGGGAAACAGAGGGGTGACCTTGTAGAGGTTGAGAAAGTCATAAGAAGCATAGATAAGGTGGACAATGGACAGCTTTTCTCAATGGTAGGGGAGTCTAAAACTGGAGGGCATAGGTTTAAAGTGAGAGGGGAGAGATACAAAAGGGACAATTTTTTCATACAGAGGGTCTGGAATGGGCTGCCAGAGATAGTGGTGGAGGCAAATACAATTTTGTCACTTAAGAAACATTTTGACAGGTACATGGAGAGGATAGGCATGGAGTGGTATGGACCATATGTAGGCAAACAGGGCTGGTTTAATTGTGAAAACTGGGCCAAAATTAGGCCAAAGAGCTTGTTTTCATGCTGTAAACCTCTATGATTCTATGACTGACCATTCTGTTAACATTTGTGAGATCTTGCAGGACATAAAGTAGTTATACCAATACATACATTACAACAGGGCGGTACAAAAAGGCTTAACTGACTAAAACATTCTGGAACAAGCTAAGGCTGTGAAAAGGATATAGACCTACAAATACTTTATGCCTCTACTCGGGTGGGAGGAGGTCTTGCATCAATGAAATAAAGAAATGTGTTGACTTCTGGTGCGAAAATTAGGAATGTTGTCATTTATTAGAAGTAGAATGCAATATAAAAGTAGGGAAAAAGGCAGGGGTATAGATATGAGAAGTAACGAATCAGCCATCATCCTATTGAATGCAGGCTTGAAGGGCTGAATGGTCACCTCCTGTTTCTATTCCATATGGTCTTAGGGAAGTTTTACTGCAGTTGTACAAGGCATTTTGGGGCCTTATCAGTAACACTGTGCACAGTGTAAGTCTCCTTATTTGAAAAATTATATAATTGTGTTGGAAATAGTTCCACTCAACTGATTCATGGGATGAGGAAGGATTATATAGTCATAGAGTCATACAGCATGGAATAAGACCTTTCAATTCAACTCATACATGCCAACCAAGTTTCCCAAACTAAACTCACCCCACTTGCCTGCGTTTGGCCCATATCCCTCTCAACCTTTCCTGACTATGTATCTTTTATGTCCAAATGTCTTTTAGATGTTGTAACTGTACCAGCATCTACCATTTTCTCTGACAGATCAATCCACATATGAACCAACCTCTGCATGCAAAAGTTGGCCCTTCAGTTCCTTTTAAATCTTTCTCCTCTCACCTGAAAACCCAAGTTTTGAAATCCCGCAGCCTAGGGAAAATTCACCTTATCTATAGTACTCATGATTTTATAAACCTCCATAAAGTCACCCCTCAACCTCCTATGCTCCAGTGAAAAACGTCCCAGCCCATCCAGCCTATCCTTAACTCATACCCTCCTGGCAACATCCTTGTAAATCTTTTCTGAACCCTCCCCAATCTAATAGTATCCTTCCTGTAGCAGGGCAACCAGAATGGACACAATATTCCAAAAGTGGCCTCACCAATGTCCTGCCCAACCACAACATGTCGTCCCAACCCTATACTCAATGGTCTGAGCATTGAAGGAAAACATGCTAAATGCCTTCTTAACCACCTTGTCTAATTATGATGCAACTTTCAAATAACTATGTACCCGAACCCCTAGGTCTCTCTGTTCTACAACACTACCAGGACCCTACTATTAACTGTATAAGTCCTACCCTTGTTAGTTTTACCAAAATGTGATACCTTGCATTTATGCATGTTAAACTCCATCTGCCATACTTCAGCCCATTGGCCCAACTGATTAAGATCCACTTGAAATCTCAGATAACCTTCTTCACTGTCCACTATACCGCCAAATTTGGTGTCATCCCTAAACTTACTTTGGGCAAATGGGAGGTGGCATTACTGACACATAGACGTATAGTCCTGATAGCCCCAGAGGGCCCCTCCCTCGCTCAAGAAAGACAATGAGTCTAACCTGAGGATCACTGCACCTCAGCTGAGAGGTGAGGTTGAGAAAACAAGACCTTCATGGGAACCTCAGCTGCTAAGGGAACTGAACCGAGAGTGGGGGTGTCACTCTACATTGCAAACCAGCCGACTGAGCTAACTACCATCCCAATGAAACCTGAAGTCCCCTGAGGCATCTTAGTTATTGGGAGGGGTGTTTCCTCTAGTGAGGAAGCTGGTAAATAAATAAGAGGTCTCCCTTTTAAGATGGAATATGAAGCGTTTTTGTTTTATCTCTTAGAAGGTTGTGAGTCTATTATTCTGTCCAACAGAGGAAATCCTCTATATTTTGACTGAGAATATACATATTTACATTGAGTCACACAGCACGGAAACAGACTCTTCAGTCCGACTTATCCATGCTGACCAAATTTCTCGAATTAAACTGGCCTCATTTGCCTGCATTTGGCCCATATCCTTCCAAACCTTTCCTAGTCATGTACCTGTCCAAATACCTATTAAGTGTTGTAACTATTCCTGCACCTACTATATTCCCTGGCAATTCATTCCACATGTGAGCCACCCTGTGTGAAAAAGTTGCCCCTCACGTCCCTTTTAAATCTTTTTCCTCTCACCTTAAACTATGACCCATGGTTTTGAACTTCCCCACCCTAGGCAGTTCAATAGCGGGAACAAAACAGCCATCACTTCCAGACCCATTGCAAATGCTGTCACCCTAATCTAATTAAACTGGATTAGCTGGGGATGGAAACCTCACTGGAGGGACAAGATATTCTAGATAATTTGGTTCGTAATCAAATGTGCAAAGTAAGTGCAAATTTTTGGCAAATAATTTTTTAATCCAACAATTGTAGCAGCTACTCACTGAATACTTGAAGACTGATATTGGCTGATGCTTTGGTACCAGAGGGGGACTCCAGAGTGATAGTAAACTCTGAGAAGCTGTAAGTGTAAACAGAGATTAGAAGGAGGGAGGCATTTGGTAAGAGGTCCATATCCCGGAACTTGTGCTGTGTCATATTCTGAGTGGTGCTGTTCCACTGGAAAAGTGTGTAGCCATTGGCACTCCAGCTTCCGTTCTTCACTTCCCCAGATATACGTACTGAAAGGATGACACTGGCTCCAGCTTCTGCATTGATGCTGCTGAGCACTGGAGAGACGCTGAGAGGCTGTGGTTTCTCTGTGAGACACGACAATGGTTCAGTAAACTACATTAAACTTATTCCAACTGATCATTTCTACAGAGGGTCAACTTGCTGTTTCTATATGTGGCCGAGAGAGATGGACCTAAATCCAATGACCAATTCAGGTCTCGTTGTTTTTAATCATCTTTTTAGTCATTCATGGGATGAGGGCTTTGCTGGCTGGCCCAGAATTTATTGCCTGTCCCTAAATGCCCCTTGAGAAGGTGGTGGTGAACTGCTGTCTTGAACTGCTGCAGTCCATGTGCTGTATATTGACCCACAGTAGCATTTGGGAGGGAATTCCAGGATTTTGACCCAGTGACAGTGAAGGATCAGCAATATATTTCCAAGTCAGAATGGTGAGTGGCTTGGAGGGGACCTTGTAAGGGGTGGTTTTCACATGTATTGCTGCCCTTGTCCTTCTAATTAGGAGTGCTTGTGTGTTTGGAAGATGCTGTCTAAGGATTTTTGGTGAACTTCTGCAGTGCTTCTTGTTGATGGTACGCACTGCTGCTACTAACCGTCAGTAGTGGAGGAAGTGAATGATTGTGGATGTGGTGCCAACCAAGCGGGCTGCTTTGTCCTGGATGACGTCAAACTTCTTGAGTGTTGCTGAAGCTGCACTCATCCAGGCAAGGGGGCAGTATTCCATCACACTCCTGACTTGTGCCTTGTAGATCATGGACAGGCTTTCAGGAATCAGGAGATGCGTTAGTTAGTGCTAGATTCCTAACCTCTGACCTGCTCTTGTAGCCACGGTATTTATATGGATGGTCCCATTCAGTTTCTGGTCAATGATAATGGATGTTGATAGTAGGGGGATTCAGTTATGGTGATGCCCTTGAATGTCAAAGGGCAGTGGTTAGATTCTCTCTCGTTAATTATTGCATGGTATGTGGGAGTTGCTGAGAAAGACAGCATTTATTGCCCAAGCCTAACTACCTTTCAAGTAAGCAGTTCAGTGGATTATTTCAGTGGGCAGTTAAGGTTCAACCACGTTGCTGTGGGTCTGGAGTCAGACCAGGTAAGGACAGCTGATTTCCTTCCTGGAAGAAACATGAGGCAACACGGTAGATTTTTATGATAATTGTTTCATTGAGGATTCAATTTATGAATGAATCTAGAGTCTGCAGGCTGAGTTTAACCCACATCCCCAGAATATTGGTCATGATACTCAGTCTATCAGTTGAACCACATTAATGTTACGCTACTGCATCTTCTCGTGCAGATTGTGCAATTTAAGTTATCTATTGTGTTTTTGGCAAATGCTACGCTTGTGAAAGACTGTAATGACCAGCGTGGATTGAAGAAAGTGATTTCCATCCCTTTACACCCTCCAGTTGCTGTGCTCCAACAGATGTATGGCAACTCTAAAGGGGTTACAGGAGCAGCTGGATCTGGGTGGATATATGCACACATCTTTCAAGGTGGCAGGTCAGATTCAGAGGGTGGATAGAAAAGAATACAGTACCCTCAGCTTTATTAGTACCGGCATAGAGTACAAGAGTGAGGGGGTGATGTTGATTTTACAGAAGAGATTAGGTTGGTATCAAGTGAAGTACTGCAACCCGTTCTGGGCACAATACTGCAGGCATTAGAGAAGGTGCAGAAAACATTCAGGAACATGAATGCACTGAAGTTCCTTCAATAGCATATTCTGAACTCAGGACCACGTCCATCTAGAAGGATAAGGGCAACAGATACATGGGAACACCAACCCTTGCAATTTCCCCTCCAGACACTCACTGTCTTGACTTGGAAACATATCACTGTTCCTTCAGTGCCAGTGGGTCACAAATCCTGTCACCCTGAAATAGTGCTGTGGCTGTATTTTATTTCAAATTCATTTTTGTGGGATGTGGGCATCGCTGGCTGAGCCAGCATTTATTGCCCATCCCTAGATGTCCCTTGAGAAGGTGATGGTGAGCTGCCTTCTTGAACTGCTGCAGCACACCTGCTATAGGTTGACCCACAATGCCCTTAGGGAGAGAAATCCAGGATTTTAACCCAGTGACAGTGAAGGAATGTGATATATTTCCAAGTCAGGATGTTGAGTGGCTTGGAGGGGAACTTGAAGGTAGTGGTGTTCCCATGTATCTGCTACCCTTGTCCTTCCAGATGGAAGTGGTCGTGGGTTTGACAGGTGCTGTCTGAGGATCTTTGGTTACTTTCTGCAGTGCATCTTGTGGATAGTACACACTGCTGTGACTGAGTGTCAGTGGTGGAAGGAATGGATGCTGGTGGATGTAGGCCCAATCAAGTGAGCTGCTTTATCCTGGATGGTGTAGAGCTTCTTGAGTGTTGTTGGAGCTGCACCCATCCAGGGAAGTGGAGACTATTCCATCACACTCCTGACTTGTGCCTTTTAGATGGTGGACAGACTTTGCAAAGTCAGGAGGTGCAGTATTCTTAGTCTCTGACCTGCTCTTGTAGCCATTGTGTTTATGTGATAAGTCTAGTTGAGTTTCTGGTCAATGGTAACCACGAGGCATGCACACTCCAAAGATTGCCACTGTTCTCAAAAGCAGTTCACCACTAACTTTGCCAGGGCAATTAAGGACGGGCAACAAATATGTTCTGAGTGAGTAACACCCACATGCCACGTACAAATAAATAAAAACACTCCCGCCATGATTTGCCTCAAAAGTACTTGACACAGCTGATGTTTAACAGCCAATTGGAGAATTAGAAAGAATATTCAACCTGTAACAAAAACAGAAATTGCTGTTGAAACTCAGCAGGTCTAGTAGCATTTGTGCGAGAGAAAGCTGAGTTGGGTCCAGTTCTGAGCTCCTTTCCATAGGAAGGATGTTGTGAAACTTGAAAGGATTTAGAAAAAAATTGCAAGAATATTGCCAGGGTTGGAGGGTTTGAGCAACAAGTAGAGGCTGAATGGGCTGGGACTATTTTCCCTGGAGCATTGGAGGCTGAGAGGTGACCTTATAGAGGTTTATAAAATCATAAGGGGCATGGATAGGGTGAACAGACAAGGTCTTTCCCCCTGAGTGGGGGAGTCCAAAACCAGAGGGCATAGGCTTAAGGTGAGAGGGGAAAGATTTAAAAGGGACCTAAGGGGCAATTGCTTCATGCAGAGGATGGTGTGCGTAGAATGAGCTGCCAGAGGAAGTAGTGGAGGCTGGTACAATTACAACATTTAAAAGGCAACTGGATATGAATAGGAAGTGTTTGGAGGGATACGGGCCAAATGTTGGCAAATGTGACTAGATTTATTTAGGATATCTGACTGGCATGGACGAGTTGGACCAAAGTATCTGTTTCCGCGCTATACAGCTCTATGAGTCTATGACCCTTCCTCAGAACACTGCCAAACCTGCTGAGCTTCACCAACAATTACTGTTTTTGTTTCAGATTTCCAGCATCTGCAGTTCTTTGTTCCACTTCATATTCAACTTGTAGTTGATAATTCTGGAAAATGATGAGCAATATTAGAAAGGCAACCTGCTTTTCTTCATTTTGAAAATTGCAGCAACTTACTGAAGACATTCAGTTCAACCTTAGCTGTCCTTGTGTCGCCAGATGCTGTACTCATGGTCACATCATATTCTCCAGTGTCCAAAACGCTCACAGACTTTAGTTTCAGAGAAGTCTTGGAAGATATTGCTGCCCGTCCGCTGTAATCGGGGCTGATCTCTGGGAATGTGTCACACCACCAGGCAACTACATTACCCCCAAACATCCAGCTCCCATTCTTCACCTCCTCTGAGGGGCTCACAGACAGGATGACTGTGTCCCCGACAACTGCATTAATCTTCCTGCTTTTGACACTGATGATAAAAGGAGTAGACTTTGCTAGGTGAAAGCAAAAAAAAATCAGTGATATTTTCCATTGATGGAACTGATAATACTCCAGATTCTGCAGTTGTAATGACAGCGAGACTGCCAATGTCTTACCCACTTACAACTGTGAGGTATCTTGGATCTTCTGGCATTCAATCATGGATAATCGCACATATTAATCCTTACTTACTCAACCATGTTATTTGTTGGGGGTCAACCAGCTCAGTTGGCTGGATGGCTAGTGAGTGATGGCAACAGTATGGGTTCAATTCTCACACCAGCTGAGGTTACCATGAAGTACTTTCCTTCTCAAACCATTGACTTAACAGCAGGAGACAGAGAGTGGTGATGGAGGGTGGTTTTTCGAACTGGAGGCCTGTCAGTAGCGGTGTTCCGCAGAGATCAGTGCTGCGTCCTCTTTATTTGTCATTTATATGAATGATTTGGATGATTATATAGAAAGCATGGTTAGTAAGTTTGCAGATGACATCAAAATTGGTGGCATAGTAGACAGTGAAGAAGGTTTTCTAAGATCACAAAGAGATCTTGATCAAATCGGTCAATGGGCTGGAAAATGGCAGATGGAGTTCAGTCTGAGTAAATGTGAGGTATTGCATTTTGGTAGGGCTTATACAATTAATGGTTGGACCTTGGGTATTATTGTAGAACAGAGGTAACTAGGGGATTGGGCACATAACATATTGACAGGATGGTTAAAAAGTTGTTTGGCCTTCTTGCCTTCATTGCTCAATCCTTTGAGCATAGGAGTTGGAAAGTCATGTTGAGGTTGTACAGGACATTGATGGGGCCTCTTCTGGAATACTGTGTCCAGTTCTGGTCGCCCAGTTATAGGAAGAATATTATCAAGCTGGAGAAGGTTCAAAGGAGATTTACCAGGATGTTGACAGGTACAGAAGGTTTGAGTTAAAAAAAATTCTGAATTGGCTGGGACTATTTTCACTGGAGCATAGAAGATTGAGAGGTGACCTTATAGAAGTTTATAAAATCATGAGGGCTTTTAATAGGGTTAATGGGAGGTGTCTTTTCCCTAAGATGGGGTATTTCAAGACTAGGGGCACATTTTTAAGGTGAGAAAACAGAGATTTGAAAAAGACATGAGGGACAAATTTTTTATGTCGAGGGTGGTTCATGTGTGGAATGAACCTCCTGAGGAAGTGTTGGATGTGGGCACAATTACAATGTTTAAAAGACATTTGGATAAGTACATGAATAGGAAAAGTTTGTAGGGATATGGGCCAGGAGTAGGCAGGTGGGGCTAATTTAGTTTGGGAGAATAGTCGGCATGGACTGTTTGGACCAAAGGGTCTGTTTCCATGTTGTACGACTCTATGATTCTCTGCTTGTGTGAGGTGTAGTGACTTTCAGGTTAAACCACCACCAGTTCTCTCTCTCTCTCTCTCTCACTCTGGTTGGACTATTGAGACTTTACATTATTTGTTTATTAGGGCATCGTATCAAGCAGGACTGAGGGGACAATCAATTCAATTGAGGTAGTGCCTGAAAGCTGCATGTCTTGCAATGCATGAGCTGCCTGTGACTAAGTGTCACAATGCCAGAACTATGTGCTGAGGGATGCACAAGATATCAGGCTCGCTTTGGCAGCAAAAAATGGCTGAATTGAATCTTACAGAGTGGACTGTTTGGAACCTCTCAGGCTGTATAGGTTACAAAGATAAGTTCTGTGTGAATATTAAGAGCATTGAAACACTACTGAGGCGACTCAAAGTCAAATAAACTCTGGAGAAAAGTTGAAATTACTTACAATCTCTGTTATACTCATTGTGGCATGTTTTGGAATGTAACAAATTTCACCAAAAATGCATGTTTTTTGAGGGAACATAAAGTGACTGTAAACTGACAGTTTTGGTCATCCTATTTAAGAAATGATATTATTTCATTGGCGGCAGCTCAGAGAAGGTTCACTTGAATGATCCCTTGTGCAGAGAAATTGTTTTATGAGCAAAGGGGCACACGGTAGCTCAGTGGTTAGCACTGCTGTCTCACAGTGCCAGGGGCCTGGGTTTGATTCCACTCTCGGGCAACTGTCTGTGTGGAGTTTGCCCAACCTCCCTGCATTTGCGTGGGCTTCCTTTGGGTGCTCTGGTTTCCTCCCACAGTCCAAAGATGTGTAGGTTAGGGTGGATTGGCCATGGGAAATGTAGGGGGAGTGGGTCCGGGTGGGATGCTCTTTGGAGGGTCGGTGTGGAATCGATGGGCTGAATGGCCTGCTTGCACATTATAGGGATTCTGTGAATCAAAGGTTAAACAGATTGGGACTTTCCTCACTGTAGTTTAGAAGAATGAGAGGTGATCTCATTGAAAGATTCTTAAGGGGCTTGACAGGGTAGATTATCTTTCCCCTTATGAGAGAGTCTAGGACCAGAGGGCACAGTCTCAGAATAAAGGAGTGCCAATTTAAGACTGAAAGAGTAGGAATTTCTTACTTCTGAGCATTGGGAGTCTTTGGAACTCCTTGCCACAGAGAGTTGTGGGGGCAGAGTCCTTGTGTATATTTAAGGTTGAGGTAGATAGATTCTTGATCAGTCGGAGAATCAAGGGTTATGGGGAAAGGGCCGGGAAGTGGATGTGAGAAATGTCAGATGAGCGATGAAATGGTGGAGCAGGCTTGAGGGGCCGAATGGTCTACTCCTGCTCCTATTTCTTATGGTCTTCTGGACAGAATTCAAATCTTTTAGTTTATAGAGTTTGACTGAATCACAGAGTCTCAAGTATACGTTTGACACAGAATAAAATCCTGGTACCAGACCACGATGAACAGAAAGAAGCAAGAACAGGAAATAACTGGAGAAACTCAGCATGTCTGACAGCAATCACCAAGAGAGAAAATGTAATGTCAATGTTTCGGGTCCAGTGTGATCTGAAGAAGGGTCACTGGACTCAAGTGTTAAGTCTGCTTTTTATCTTCACAAATGCAGCCAGACCTGCTGAGTTCCTCCAGCAATTTCTGCCTTTCATCTCAGATCTTAAGCATCTACAGTTCTTTGTTTTATGAACAGAAATGTCTTTTCACACACATATATGCATATATCACAACATCCCCAATTCAAGTTTTGGTCATAGAGCCATACAGCACAGAAACAGACCCTTCAGTCTAACCAGTCCATGCTGACCATAATCCCAAACTAAACTAGTCCCACCTGCCCCGTATCCCTCCAAACATTTCCTATTCATGTACTTATCTAAATGTCTTTTCAACATTGTAACTGTACCCACATCCACCACTTCCTCAGGAAGTTCATTCCACACGCAAGCCACTCTCTGTATAAAAAAATTGCCTCTCATCTCTTTTTTAAATCTTTCTCCTCTCACCTTAAAAATATGCCCCCTAGCCTCGACATCCCCCACCCTAGTGAAAGGACACCTGCCATTCACCTTATCCATGTCCCTCATTATTATAAAGTATTATTATAAAGACCTCTATAAGGTCACCTCTCAACATCCTACACTTTAGTGAAAGGAGCCCCAGCCTATTTAGAGTTTAAAGGTGTGAGGCTGGAAAAGCACAGCAGGTCATACAGTATCCAAGGAGCAGGAAAGTCAATGTTTCGGCCTGAAACCGTTTGTCAGGACATCTCACCCATAGACCCTGGCTTCCAGCATCTGCAGTCCTTATTGTTTCCCAGCCTATCCAGCCTCTCTTTATCACTCCAACCCTCCATTCACAACAACATCCTGGTAAATCTCTTCTGATACCCCTCTAGCATGATAATATCCCTCCTACAGCAAATCGATCAGAACTGGTCACTGTACTCCAGAAGAGGCCTCACCAATGCCCTGTACATCCTCAACAGAACATCGCAACTTCTATATTCAAAGGTCTGACCAATGAAGGCAAACATGCTAAATTGCTTCTTAACCACCTTATCTATATGTGATGCAGATTTCAAAGAATTATGTACCTGAACCTCTAGTTGTCTCTTTTCTACAACACTCCCCAAGGCCCTACTTTTAATTGTATGTCTTGTCTTTATTTATTTTACCAAAATGTAGTACGTCACATTTATCCAAATTAAACTCCATTTGCCACTTGTCAGCCCATTGAACCAATTGATCAAGATGTCTTTGTAATCTTAGATAACCTTTGTCACTGCCCGCTATCCCACCAAAGTTGGTGTCACCCTTAAACTTACTGACTATGCTTTCTGTTTTCTGATCTAAATCATTTATATAAATGACAAACAAAAGCAGACCCAGCACCGATCCCTGTGGAACATTTTTGTCACAGGTCTCCAGCATGAGAAACAACCATCCACCATCACTCTCTGTCTCCTACTGTCAAGCCAATTTTGTATCCAATTGGAAAGCTCACCCTGAATCCTATGTGATATAACTTTAATAATTAGTCTACTGTGTGGAACCTTTACTAAAGTCCAAGTAAACAATGTTTACAGCTCTGCCCTCTCAATCTAATCATTGTTGATTACAAGAGATGAGGAACTTACGGAATACGTTCAAAGTGACCTTGGCTTTGGCCTCTTGTCCAGTAGGGGAATCCATTGTCACCCAATAATCTCCAGTGTCTTTGAGGGCCACAGAATGGAGGAGAAGGGAAGTGTTGTCCAAGAGAAGCACATTGCGTTTGGTGTAGGCGACATTGAGGTTGGGGGGCTCGACAGTCCAGAGGACAATTGACTCACCACCAAACTTCCAGAAGCCACTCGAGACGGGAGAGGAAGGTCTCACTGGGAGGATGGCTGTATCACCCACAGTTGCATTCACTTCTGTCTTGTACACAAGGACACTGAAAGGCTGCAGTTCAGCTGCGGGAATAATTCCATGGCATCAGTGTTAGGAAGGAACCCAAAGCAGAACACAACATGCAGAGACTGCCTTTTTCTTTAACCCATGGGATTACAGTTCTGTCTCTGTACCCCAAAATATTGTAAGTTTCGCCCTCTCTGACCCAGCCTGATTGTTACCCAAAGAGATTCTCACCGTATGATATTAACAAGCACACCACAGAAGCGACGAGTCTAGCTCTCTCCATCCTGGCAGAAGTATTTCTGATCCAAGTGCTCTCTGGATTCCTGTTCCCAGGCACGTCACATGAGCAGTTTAAGAAGACTAGGAAAAGAAAAGCGACTGACTGCTGCCTGTTGATCAAACACTTGTCAACGAGCTCAGAGTGCAATCATTGTCAAATCCATTGTTCTGCGGTTTCCCATCCACTTACAATTTCTTCTGACTGGACTGGAGACTGTGTTAATTTCACCCTGCTTGCTTTCTCCAGATGAAAGGGATATTGGACTGAGACATTCCCATTGAGGAGATGGCATATTCTGAGCCTATTTCTGTTCATGTCCCATCGCTGACAACGCAACGCCACTGTGAAAAATGTTGCATTGTGAAGCTCACAGCTCAGAAAGAAAGCCAATATCAATGTAGAAGTGTTGGTGTTGATGCAGCTAGTCAGTGACAATTCAGTTAGTCAGTGATAATTCAGTTAGTGGGTGATAATTCAGTCAGTGCATGATCCTCTTGCATTCAATCCTTCCACAAATGGGAATATGCTCTCCCATTCTATTCCATCCAAGCCCATCATGATTTTGATTACCTCAAACAAATCTCATTTTAGGCTTGTTTTCCCTGATAACAGTCCTTGGTTCTCCAATCTACCTTCATAACTGATGTTTCTCGTCCCTGGAAGTGTTCCTGTGAATCATTGCTTTGTATCCATTCTAAAGTGTACCACTGGTCATCATATTCTAACTGAGGCTAAACTAATGTTATATACCATAGTTCAGGATTGGAGTACAGGAGCAGGGATGTCTTGTTGAAATTCTACAAGGCTTTGGTGAGACCACCCCTGGAGTATGGTGTGCGGTTTTGATTTCGTTATCTGAGGAAGGATGTGCTGGCTATGGAGGGAGTGTAATGAAGACTTACCAGACTGATTCCTGGGATGGCAGGACTGACAAATGAAGGGAGACTGGATCAGTTAGGATTGTATTCACTGGAGTTCAGAAGAATGGGGGGTGGTGGGATTTCATAGAAACCTATAAAATTCTAACAGAATAGACAGAATAAACACAGGAAGGATGTTCCAGATGACCAGGAAGTCCAGAAGCAGGAGATCACAGTCTAAGGATGCAGGGTAGGCCTTTAGAACTGAGGTGAGGAGAAATTTCTTCAATCAGCGGGTGGGCCTATGGAATTGTCTGCCACAGAAAATGTAGCAATTGTAATGAGGTAGACCAGATAGACCTCATAGAATATGAGTTACCTGACTGGGCATGGAAACCTGGTACAATCAGGGAGATCTGGCTGACATAAAAGGGTGAATGTCAGGAATATTGGGGCTCTGAATGCCTGACTCAATGAGAGACAGCAATATTTTCAAAGGCGATGCATTTGAATACAGGGTGATTGGTGATGGGATGCTGAGTTATTTCAGAAAGCAGTTGAGGCCAAAACATTGAAGACTTTCAAGAAAGATGTTGTTGTAGTTTGTCAGATGGAAGGGATCAAAGGATATGGGGAGGGGAGAGGACAGGGGACTGAGTTGGATGATCAGCCATGACCATACTGAATGGCAGAGTTGACTGGAAGGGCTGAATGGTCTAATTCTTTGATTTGATTTGATTTATTATTGTCATGTACAGCACAGGCAGCCCATAGCATACAAAGTGTATAAGGGTAATAGAACAGAGCAAGGAATACAATGATACAATGGAGCACAAAGAGAAACATCAACACTAAATTTAAAATTTCAGAGGTCCATTCAGAAGTCTTATAACAGCAGGGAAGAAGCTGTTCTTGAATCTGTTGCTATGTGCGTTTAAGCTTTTATATCTTCTGCCCGGTGGAAGAGGTTGGAAGAGAGTATAACTGGGGTGGGAGGGGTCTTTGATGATGTTGGCTGCTTTGCAAGGTGGCAGGAATTGTAGATGGAGTCAATAGAGGGAAGGTCGACATGATTGGTTGTGTTCACAACTCCCTGTAGTTTCTTACGGTCCTGGGAAGAGCAGTTGCTGTACCATGCTGTGATGTATCCAGATAGAATGCTTTCTATGGTGCATCTGTAAAAATTGTTAAGAGTCTTTGTGAATATGCCAAGTTTCCTTATCTGCCTGAGGAAGAAGAGGGGCTGTTGTGCCTCCTTGACTGTCACAAGAACTTGACACTCTCAACCATCTCCACCTCAGCTCCATTGATACAGATAGGGGTGTGCCCTCCACTCCGCTTACTGAAGTCAATGACCAGCTCCTTCATTTTGCTGATCATAGAATCCCTACAGTGTGGAAACAGGCCCTTCGGCCCAACAAGTCCACACTAACCCTCAGAGCATCCCACCCAGACCCATTCCGCTGTAACCCACCTAATCTACACATCCCTGAACACTACGGGCAATTTAGCATGGCCATTCCACCTAGCATGCACATCTTTGGGCTGTGGAAGGAAACTGGAGTACCCGGCGGGAACCCACACAGACACAGGGACAATGTGCAAACTCCACACAGACAGTCACCCGAGGGTGGAATCGAACCCATATTCCTGGTGCTGTGAAGTAGCAGTGCTAACCTCTGAGCCACCGTGCTGCCCCAAATGTTGATGGGAGGGAGAGATTGTTATCTTTACACCACACCACCAAGCACTCTAACTCCTTTCCCTATATTCTATGTTTCGAGCCCATAGTAACAAAGCCTCATGCATTTTGCTCTTTCTTAATTTCTGTCTAAAGCAGTCCTGCCATACGTGCGGACATTGAATTCCAGTCCCTCCTCTCCCGCTCTCGTTTGGGGATAGCCACTGCAAACTTCCTCAGGTCTGAAAAAAAAAGCATCTACCAGTTATTCGTTTCCTGCGCAACCCCATCCCCCCAACCAAGTTTTTCATGGAGATATAAACAGCTGACTGTTGCTTTTTTGGTCACATCTCCTTTTAAGCAACCATTTCAACCAAAGCTCAGAGAGTTCCTGAGTTTATTCACTGCTCATTCCATTGTTTTCTCCCTTCCCCAGAAAACGCTTGCTGCTCAACACTGGACAATCTATTCCTTTTCCTCTGCTAACTCTTCCCATTTCAAAAACAGGGGGAGGCTTAGGGACACTATAGAATGCCTACAGTGAGGAAATAGGCCCTTCGGTCCAACAAGTCCACACCCACCCTCAGAGCATCCCACCCAGACCCATCCCCCAATAACCCACCTAATCTACACATCCCTGAACACTACGGGCAATTTAGCATGGCCCAACCGCCTAGCATGCACATCTTCGGACCGTGGGAGGAAACCCGCACAGACACAGGGAGAATGTGCAAACTCCGCACAGACAATCACCAGAAGGTGGAATTGAACGCAGGTCCCTGGTGCTGTGAGGCAGCAGTGCTAACCACTGAGCTACCGTGCTGCCAATATGTGGCTAGATGGCCCCCTAGCATTCCCTACCTACTTTGGGAACACATTGACATTGGCTACGGTCCTACTCAGACCCATCTCTGACTTACCCACCCCTGGACGCTGATACCTTTTACTGTTGCTGATGTCTGCTCTGGTTCCAATCTCTGGAAAATGGGAGGCAGAAGTTTGGGCAGGGAGTTTGGAGGGTCTGTTCGAGCAGAAAGTGACAGGACAGCTACAGGTACAAATAAATAGTAGGAAAAACAGAAGCAGAATGAGATAAAGAGTAAGACGGACAGAAAAAAAAGAGATAGAAAGCCACCAGGAGATATGAAGAGGGATAAAATGTCATGGAAACTGAAGAGATAGACAATAAAGCAGGTAAAGATGGAGAGAAAGACAGAGAGACGGATTATAGAGAGAGAGAATGGTGAAGACACTGACAAAGGGATAAAAAGACAGATAAACAGCTAAAAAGTGGGAGACAGGGAACACAGCAGATAATAAGATGAATAGGAAGAGATAGCAAAAGTGAAAGGAGTTGTGAAGGGATGGAGAAACTCCTCAAGCCTGTTTCTCTATTATTTTTGAGGTGTTGAAATGCTACCCTCTGTTGGTGACTGGACGCTAGTACACAAAGGGAGGTCAGCTTGTGTCAGTGAGGGGTGTGGGTGTGTGGGTGTGTGTGTATGTGTGTGTGTGTGTGTGGGCGGGTGGGGGGTGGTATTGGGGGATTGTGAGAGTGAGTACTGTGTGCTTGTGTGGAGATTATTGTGGGGACTGTGTGTGTGTGTGTGTGTGAGTGTGTGTGTGTGTGTGTATGGGTGTAAGGGTATCAGGGACACTGTGGGTGGGAGGGGACACTATGTGTATAGGTGGGGAGGGGGTGGTAGGATGTGCACATGGGCAAGAGGCTGTTTGGGAGTGTTGGTACGTGAAGGGGGTTAGAAGGATTGTGTATGGGGGAAAGCAGAGTTGTGTTGGTGTATTGCAGTTGTTTGAGGGGGAGGAGGGTATTAGAGCATATGACGGGGAGAGGTCACATTGGACATGTGTGTGGGGGTGGTGCCTGTGTGGGAGTGGGGTGTGTGTGGGATGGGTGTGGGTGGGTAAGTGTGTGGGGGTATATGTGTGGGGGTCGTATGTGTGGGGACGAAGGGTGTGTGTGGGGTGGGGGATGTGTGGGGGTGGGGAGTGTGGAGTTGTTTGTGGTAATAGGGGTTGTGTGTGGGAGGGTGTGTGGGGGTGGGGGGATGTGTGTGGGTGTGGAGATTGGGTGTGTGTGGGTGTGTCTGTGTGGGGGTGTGGGTATGTGTGTTGGGTTGGGTGTGTGTGTGTTGGAGTGTGTGTGTGGGTATGCGGGTAAGTGTGTAGATGTGTTAGGTGGTGGGTTGTGTGGGGGTGTTAGGGGTATGTGTGGGGTGTAGACGTTGGGATGTCATGTTGCAGTTGTACAGATTTTGGTAAGGTCACTTCAGGAGTACTGTGTACAGTTCTGGTTGCCCTGTTGTAAGAAGGATATTATTAAACTGGAAAGGGCGCAGAAAAGATTTGCAAGGACAGGAAGAGTTGAGTTTGAAGGAGAGGCTGGATAGGCTGGGACTTTTCTCTTTGGAGTGTAGGAGGTTGAGGGTGGCCTTATAAAGGTC